TGTTTCTGAAGATGTACTCTCAGCCCGGATCCTCTTTTTTAGTTAGTATCCTTTTCTTTTTAATTATCCTTTTCTTTTTGCTTTGTACTTTTAATTTCTGTTTAAAAATTCTTAATTCTTCTCTCCTGTCTTTCTTTTGCTCGTTGTTCCTTTTTTTTAGCTGAATTCGTTTTTCCTCATGTTTTTTTTGGTCGTACTCTCTCCTCCATGCAGAGCTTTTGGTTATGAACGATAGCTTTTCTTTCGTCTTACGTTTTTTCCCTTTTGTTGATTCTTCCTCTCCGGGCCAGAAACAAGCACGTTTAAAGGGCGAATTTACTATAGGATAAGTTATTTTATAGATAGGAGGCGGAGCTATTTCATTCCTGTTGGATGGACTTGGTTCATTTATTGTGTTTGATGATACATTATCAACGTTGATAGATCGATGCCTAGTTTCAGAGATGGAACAGCATGTTTCGCGGACCTTTTGTGGGGTTTTATTATTCATTGATAGAGACGCGTATTCAAAAGTTCTCTGGGATGTAGCTGGATCATTTGATATATTTAGAGGACTATTCTCAACAGCAGCGTGTTCAACATCGTGGAGGCTTTGGGAGTATTCTGAATTTCTGGGACTAGGTAAACCTTAAATTAATCTAGAATTGTCAATTTCTTGAAGTTGATTTTTGTCTTTATCTCTCTGATTTGTTTTTGATTTATTGGTTTTTGAACATGATTCGTTTTTAAATATCTGGTATTATCTGACTAGAAACATTGTCTATTGTTCTGGAATTTTTATCAGCTACGATTGCGCGTAACGTTACATCCGGTTCACTGTCCAATTTGGTCGATGATGAAAGATTTTGATCTACACGAGGCATTTTTATCCTTGAATGGAAATATGAAGTGCCGAAGTGTCACATTCATTTGAGCCATCTTGAGAGAGTGAGTTAGCTCAAATCACATGAAGGGATACATCCTCTTCAGGTAAACTAGTTTCCAACTCGGATCTCCTTTGTACGTTAGGGCACACTGAAATGGTCGGGAATAGAATATTTCGGATTTAGTTACAATAAAACCTTTTGAAGAATTTGAATACTGGCCTCGTAGAATCTTAATGACATTCAAAAAATTAAAAAAATGTTTAAAAACAAAAACTACGTTGGTTTAAAGTTGACACGTCGTTAACAGTAATGGAGCTCACGCGTAAACATTTCAGTGTCATAATTTATCACAGTTTTCGTCGCGGCTTATCTCAAGATAAATGTCTCAGCGAACTTGTTTCGATTTATGATGTTGAAGCACCGAGTCAAACGACAATATACCGCTGGTATGCCGAGTTCCGACGCGGTCAAGTGTCGCTCGGCACTGTTTCTTCTGCAGGTCCACCAAGAACAGCGGTCACGCCTGAAAACATCGCAGCTGTGCGAACTATTATATTAGATGACCGTTGTGTGATATACGAGCAGATTCGCACTGTTATCAGTATCGGAATGATTGCAATTCAGTCGATATTACATAATGAGCTGTGTGTAAGAAAGCTAGTTTCCCGCTGGGTTCACCGGGGAAGAGCCGGTCTGAAGAGCAAAGGCGGCGCCTGTAGATTGGTGCCGGAATACTCTGCAACGCTTCAACAAAGTCAAATGCCGTTTATAATATCATCTTAGGTGACAAATCATGGATTTATTCATACGAACCTGAAAGAAAACATCAGTCAGCAGTTTGGGTCTACGAAGACGAGGTCAAACCAATGAAAGTGGTTCGCTCCCGCAGCGTGTCAAAGAAAATGTGTGCTACGTTTGTCTCGAAAAAGGGGCATGTTGCTACAATTTCTTTACAGGAACGCAGAATGGTTACCGCTGAGTGGTATATCACGGTTGGTTTGCCAGAAATGATAGCCGAACTCCGAAAAAATGAAACGTCGCATCATCTTACATCACGATAATGCGAGCTCCCATACGGCTCGGAAGACAAATGATTTTTTGAAGCAGGAAAACGTTGAGCTGATGAGCCATCCTCCGTACAGTCCTGACCTGAGCCCAAACGATTTCTTTACATTCCCTAGAATGAAGTGTAGGTGTGGTAGCGTATAAATCTTCCAAGTTTTGTCAACATCAACTTCAGACTGGAATTACTGTTTTAATGATTGGTTTGCACGAATGGAAAAGTATATTAAGTTGAATGGAGAATACTTCGAAAAACAATAAAATACAATTTAGCTATACCGTGCATGTGGTTTTTCTTATTCCCCATTATTTCAGTGTGCCCCTCGTAATATAGATTTCTAAAGAGATTTAACTTTTCCTGTGAAAGCACGGTCACAATTTTTCTCTCTAAATTTAAAAAAAATCGTTTCCGGATATATGATCCGAAGATTGCCGTTTCTGTAATATGTCCATACATATTCAGTTCCATATGGATATAACCCAGCGGCACGAAAGCCATGCTTTATAGAATCACCGGTTAATTTCGTTAGGGCTGTTTTTAGAACGGGAGTGAAATTGTCCTTTTTGAGATTTTGCCCTAAATTTTGCATTAAAAAAAGGCCAAATCCATCGGCTATAATAAGTGCATCGAGTATTAGGGTATTAGGATATAATTTCAATACCATTTTCCACGCAGAAATTTAACAAATGTAACGTTAAATGGGACTTGTGCCCGTCTAAAAAGAACAATACAGGCTTCTCAATTTTTTCTTCAATAAACCATTTTTCAAAGTGGTTAGTTATATACTCTAAGAACGTACTTCCTCGTATCCAGTTGCTCCCTGACAGCCCAATGATCCAGTCATCAGGAAATGACGACAAAATCATAGAAGCAATCCGTTCATAGTTGAAGACCACCATAGTTGGTGCCAATTGACCAGCCGCATATCCCGTAAAACATGGCGACTTTGCCCGCTTTTTTGACGTCAGGCCAAATTATTTTTGATGTATTCATTTAATTAATAGATAGCTTCCTTTTCCTATACACAAACGCAAATATACGTTTCTTTACATATATTAAGAATGATTGCGAGAAAAACGTCTACTCATTTAAAAAAATTAAACTTAGAAAGTGGGTCAAAAATTTAGATTTTTGGCAAAATTGCCCACTTGCTAGTTTCGTTCCGAAACTAGGCTTCTGTCGGCTTTATTCATTGGACATAAAAACTATATTAATAGACTGGGCAATGCCACACAAAATTTTGGTTAAAAATTTTCTAGGCATACTTATGGTCCCCAAAATTTAGTGGGCAAAGTCATAAAGCCAATCAGAGCATTTTTCATACAAAACGAACTTTGAAATAGGGCTATCTGTCACTTCTTAATATTAAAAAACTGTAATATAAGAAGCGTTTATGATCGGAATGTGATAATTTTACAAAAAACTTGTAATTATAATAATAATTATTATTATTTGTTGTACTTATGTTATCCACAGACTTGTTACTAGCTAAGGCCGAGTGCCACTTAAAGAAAAAGGACAAATATTGCAAATCTTCAATCTTAATAGGAACACTATAGGTACTTTAAAAGATCACGTTATTCCAATAAATTATATAATATTAGTCGAGTTTCTTTAAAGTTTCATTTGAAACATTTTCAATAAAGATATTAATATTTTAACACTAATATATTCGTATCACAATCTTAGGTTTTTAATAGAACACATAGGCACTATGAATTGAACGGAAAAACTGTTCTAGTGTTTATTATGTCTGCATTTCCGCCTTTTTTATTGTATGTTGTAATGACTTAGGTCAATATTAAACATTATTTACCCTCGTCGGGAAATTGTTGGTTGAGGTAAAACTAAAATAATATCATCGAAGTGCGTCATTTCACATACATCGTCAACATTTGGATATGAAAAAATTAATCCTTTTCTATTTTTTGTATTTTTTACTCTCCTTACAAATTTTACGGTAGGTACGTTATCGTTTATGAATAAAAATATGCGTCCTACGAAATGCTTCAGGCTTTTTTTCGTTGCAAATTTGGTTACAATCCAGTCGTCTTTTTTTAATTCATCACTTGTATGATATTCAATGTCACTGCACCCAAATGGTATAATACTTAACTCTGGCTTCGTATTTTCTTTATCAATTTGTTCATTTAAGCATGCTGTTGTGTAAGCATCAAACGTGTCATAATCAGAACTATCTGTGTCATGCAAACTCAAAACATCGGAACTTTCAGAATTTCTTGCAAGTTATGTTTTGGTGTTCTTTTGTACAGTTTTCTTGCTTAATTTCGTCTTTTGTGCAATACTTTTATTAATTTTACTCTTATTTCCATATTTTGTTTCTTTTTTGATATCGACATTTTCCAGTTTTCTTTTCCTGTTTGGTTCATTTGACGTGCTGGGGATATTATATATATATATCAGATTCTCTTAGATCGTTATTTCGTTTAACTTGTTTTTGTTTTTTCATGGAAAACAATTATATCTGTAATTGTGAGTTGTAACTTTATTTGGTTTTAGTTTTTATTTAATTTTATAAATATTTTTTTCAGATGTCACAGTCACACCTGAAGTGATTTTCACATTAGAGATAATTATAATATGAACCTTTGTCGGAAAATTTTACTTCATTTTTAGAGCTGGTAGGTGTTGTATGAGGCTGATCATTTCTATTCATCGCCTTTAATGATAAAATCTGAATGTCACGGTATGAAGATTTACCAAATTCGCACTCATCTAAAGTTTGAGCTACCTATATAATCTTGTGCTGGTGAACCTAATTGAGTGTTGATGTTTTTGATACAAAGTACATTAAGACTTTGTAGATCATAATGATTTCTTAAATTTACGCGAACACTACACATTGAATAAAACTATTATTTACGGATTTTATCGCGTTTAATTACTTTAATTTATTTTTATTATTATCCCGACGTTTCGGGTGCTTTACAGCGCCCATGACCATGAATCATGATAAAATCCGTAAATAATAGTTTTATTCAATTTGTAGATCAGTTAATCCACTTATTTTACATGTGCTGTCATTAAATATGTATATATATCTTATTTACTTGTTCTGACTCTGTCATCTTCACCTTTTTATCATTTAAGAAATCCATCTTAATTTCTTCATTTAATGAAGAATTTAAAATTCTGTCATATATTTTATCTGTTTCCAATTTACTTTTGGTAGAACTTTTTATGACTTCGCCTGTATTTTCGTCATTATCTGACTCCAACTCTATATCCTCATAGATTTTTGTATCTAATATATGTGTATCAAGTTCTTCATCATAATCTGTTCTGATATCAAATTTTTTAAGTTTCTTCTTTCGTATTGTCTTTTTCAGCACTAATTTTTCCTTTTGAATTAAAGATGTTTCATTTTCTTGGTCCGGAACTATATAATTTTTTGTATTAATATTGCATTTAATTTGGTTTTGGTGCTCGTGTTTCTTTCAAGTAGTCTAACAAGGCCGTGTCTACTCCATATTCTACATCGTCAAAATACTCAGGTATTCTCTTCAAAACATTACGTGCATTCACGGGGTAGATTTCTGCTGCTTTAAAACCGCTTTTTATGTTGTTGCTATTTTTGAGTTCAATTTTGTCAGTCAAAAGATTTAAGAGCTTTGGGAAATGTTTTTGTTAATGGTGCTTTGTCCCGGGTTTTTGATTTTATATTCCAGCAAGATCTTTCTCCATTCTTTTTTCAGTGGGGCAAAGTAGGCCACATCGAGCGGTTGGGTGAGATGTGTTAAGTTGGGTGGTAAGAAGAGAAGTCTTATGTCATGCTTTTCACACATCTGCAACGCTTCGAAATTTAAATAACTGGACAAATTGTCGCCAATGACAACTTTCGGACCTGGCCCCACCTTTTTTGCCCACTCAATGACTGTAGTTCGGAAATAATCCTCAAAGCAGGCAGAGTCAAACCATCCGGATTTGGTACAATTGTACCTAGTTTGATCCGGACCTCCCTCCACTCACTCGGAGTACAGATTTGTTGCTTTGTAAACAACATTTGGCGACAGACAGTATCCAGATGCACATGCGGTAAACATGATATAAATAGAACTTTTTATAGCATTTAGGATCCTTTCAGGATATTTGACTCCCCCTCCTAAAGATACACTCAGAAGCGCCCTGATTGTCTGCTAGTTTTGTCTCATCATAGTTTAGTATACGATTTGGTGGTACATCTTTGAGCGTTTCGTTTAGATTTTGAAAGAAATTTTCCATTTACGTTAACCCTTTTTCAGCTTGGACTCGTTTAATATTTTGCATTGTTCTTACTGTCAATTTTGAGAAATGTCTTGGCAAAGGCCTGAGGCCTGGCAGCGAAATTAAAATTATCACGTTCTGGATTATATAATGATTGCTACAACGTCTCTAGTATGTTAAAACCATTCGCATCGAGCTCGAAAGTACTAAGAAGCTGCACCTATTTACAAGATTCTCTAAACAATAATGACATACTGATATTATCTGCAGGTTGTAATGATAAAATCCTTACTTTTTCTTAACTGACCTATGTAATACCCTATGTACCTAACTTAAAGCATTGTAAAATATTTTTGTTAAGCGTATAACAAAATAATTATCTAAATGTTCATAAACTTAATGCTGAAATCAAACTCATTATAAAAAAACTACAAAAATTGTACTTTTATTGACATAAACAAATTATTCAATAACTGCACCAGCCTAAATACGACATCGTCTAAAAATAAAATATGTATTGAATATAGAAATAGATTATCTAAAATATGAGCACGATTATATTAAAAATGGGCTAAAATTAAAACAAGATTCAAATAAGATCAATTACATTTCAAAAAATAGCGCGAACATACAAATATATAAAAAAGGCACAATAGCATATTACTTCCCTGTTTAAGCAAAAGAATCACCAAATAAAACAACACAAAAACCTGAAAACAAAATTCCTGAATTTTTTCGTTCCTAACAATTTATTCGTAATCCTTCATCAAAATATACAGGGCTTATCTTCAAAAAAAGAACTTATTGAAGTGAATCTCTCGGTACTAAATCATGGTTTGTCCCCGGATGTGCTTTGTTTTTCAGAGACTTTCATAAAGTGTGTTGAGGAAAAAAATATCAAAATACATAATTACGAACTTGCGTTCCACTACTCATGAAACAAAAAAGGAGTGGAACATGCATAATGGTAAAAAAAGGTATAGCATTCAAGCAAATAACCATTTTTGACGAGGCTTCAGCCAACTTTCATTTTGAATGTTGTTCAATAAAAATACCTTATCATAACATAATTATTGTCTGCGTATACCGTTCTTCAACTGCTACAAAAAAGGCATTTTGAATGCTATTTCGATAAACTGGAGTTTGTACTTAGTAAATGTTTGCACTTGATAAGCACTCGAAGCAAAAAATTGTGATTGTGGGAGAGATCAACATAAATACTTTAATAAGAAATAATGTGACCAACAACTTACTAGATATTCTCCAAAATTATAATCTCACTCAGCATATCACGGAACCCACTAGAGACCTATCATGTATTGACCATATATTTAGTAAAATTAAAGGAGCAACTGGACTTAACCTCCCTTTCTGTTTATCGGACCACGATACTGCGCAAATTCGTGGTTTTAGTACTACATTAAAGATTACTCCCCCAAAAACCTTACACATCTATAGGAGGGATAACTCTTCTGAAAATATAGAGAAGTTTAAAAAATATTTGACAAGATGTTTAAAACGATACAGAACCTAACGCTGCGTTTAATAAATTTCATGATTGGCTATGCCTTCTTTACAAAACTTTGCTTCTCTTATAAAAAATTAGACTTTCTTCAAAATCCCATTTAAAATGGATATCTAAGGGAATTAGGAATAGCTGCTGCGAAAAATAGAGTCCTAAAAAAACTACTACAGGAGAAAAACTCCTCAAAATGAACACAAATATAAAGTTTACTCAAAACTACTTAAAAATTCATACTGTGTTCTAAAAAAATAACTAATAATAAATATGTGATAAACAGCAAAAATACCTGCTAAGCTACTTGGAAGGTCATACAGGTGAATAACATACCAAGCCGCAATATAATAATCACATTGATTTTATTGAATATGACAACAAATTTATTACTATTCCTACACAAATCGCAAATACTTTTAAAATAATTTCTTCATTGAATTGACAAACAAAGATATCCAAAATTATATACTAAATAATAAATCCAATCTAATCTTAAATAATTCTATTTATCTACAACCTGTTGACGAATATGATATAAATAAAGTAAAAATGACCTTGAATAATAGGGACTCAGAAGGGTATGACGACATTTGTACCAAAGTAATTAAGGCCTGCAACAAAGAAATAGGTGGGGTCTTGGCATTTTTAATAAACTTATCAATAGTCTCTGGTATCTTCCCTGATAAACTTAAATTTTCTTTGATTAAGCCTTTGTTCAAAAAAGACAAAAATCAATTTTGGACAACTACCGTCCTATTGCGCTCGTGCCAATTTTGCCCAAAGTATATGAAAAAATTATGCAAACTGTTTAGTCATTCATTTTCACAACTCACACCGTTCTTTGACAAGTATCATGTCCTGAATCCCACTCAGTATGGGTTCCAGAGGGGAAAATCTACTACACATATTGTTATCGATATGGTAAATGAGACTCTAACATGCCTTAATGCTAATAATTATACAACTGCTCTCTTCTTTGACATGTCGAAGGCTTTCGATTTTGTTTCACATAATTCATTACTGGAAAAGTTGGAAAAATGTGGCATTAGAGGCACTGCTTTAAGTTGGATTAAAAGTTACTTGCAAAATAGACGTCAATCTGTTGAAATACGCAAACCAGACTGCAATCATATGGTTCTAAATCACAAATCATATTTTAAAGAAAACAAATACGGAGTTCCACAGAGTAGCGCTTTGTGACCACTGTTGTTCTTAGTATATATTAATAATCTTCCGGATGTAATTAAGCACAAAATGCATTTTATTTGCTGACGACATATCTGTAATAGTGAAAACAGATGGTAAATAATAACTAAAAGACCACATTAATGACATTAACTGTACAGTAAAAACAATAATAGAATGGCTTAAAAATAACAACCTACTTGTAAATATTGACAAAACTTATTTTATAAAATTCAATGCCATATTATACCAGACAGTCAACATTAATTTTGAAGGACAAACACTAAAAAGTACAAATACGAAAAAATTCCTAGGTAGGTATATGGATAGATCAGAAACTAAATTGGAAATGTCAAGTTGAACATGTATGTAAAAAAATAAATAGATTTTCGTACGCTCTTTATAAGCTAAGCAAAGTCGCCACAAAAAATACAGCACTTACTGCGTACTTTGCCTATGTGGAATCCGTTCTGCGATACGGGCTTATTATATGGGGCAATAGCACAGATGCAAAAAAGGCATTCATTGCCCAAAGAGCCTTGCAGACCGCTATTTGTATCTCTGAAAACACTACCCCTCCCATGCCTGTACATTTTTGAAATTGCAAAGTTTGTAAAACAAAACATGTATTATTTCAGACAAGCGAAAGAGATTTATACATAAAATACCAGAAATGGCAATAGACTTGCTGCTGAAATTATACCCAAGAGTGCTCGGCTTAAAAAACTGCTACTGGATGTGTAAGCTGATATTTAATAAAATACCCCAAAATATAAAAGATTTACCCCTTAACAGATTTAAATGCGCCCTTTATAGGTAGCTAAATGATCATTGTTTTTATAATGCGAATGACTACCTAAATTTGACATGAGGTGACACAACAGTAGTTCTATATTTTTAATTGTATTTTCAATTTTAAATATTTTTAAATTTGTATGTATTGGTATTAGTATTGATAATTTGTAAACGATGACTATTTTATGATGAATATTTCAATTTAATTCGATATTTTAATATAGTTACTACAATTTAATATAGTTAATATAGTACAACACCTTTCAATAACCACCTAAATGCACCCTTTCTCAAAGCAAATAAATCTTCATTTCATTTCATTTAAAAAAAAATGTTCAATCAATCACCGGGCATTTTACCATCAAAAATATCAGTAGGGGAATTTTTTGCAAATACTTAAAAACAAGCATTTTCAAATCTAACTTTGTCATCGCGGTTCCATAATCAGCAGTAGCAATTAGTACTTTCACCGATTTTTCCTCTTCTTCGTCTGTTAATTTCTTTTGTCCCGCAGCTGGTTTCATATGCAAGTTTTTCGATTTATCGCGTTCGCGCGTTATAAGCGTTCGACGTGGGATTCCGAATTGCTTTTCAGCCTGTCTACTAGAAATAATTTTTTTTCGATCATTTCGACAGCTA